CTTGGGGGGGGGGGGCAGGAGGTGCCAGGCCCCAGGGCCCAATCCCAGTGTGGGTGGCCAGATGGGGGCAGTGCCAGGCTCCCAGGGACCAATCCCTAACATTCACATTCAGTCCAAGCCACGAACCATCCAGCTGATGAAAGCCAGCTATTGCCAAAAGAAAGCAGGTGATTTAAAAATTAAGGCTCAGCCGTGAGACGCATTGATCCAGACCACTCCACCCTGGCTTCCCTGCTCAGACATCCCCCACTCTAACTGAAGAGCAGGATTATTAACACTCTCATTAATAAAATCACTAAGCACCTACTCTTGCATGGGAATTTTGTCTCGAGCAGGGCTCAGTGAATCAGGCAGGAAGCCAGTGTCACTGTGCCCATTTCACAGAAAAGAAAAACCGAGTCACATGGCATTAGTGCCCAGTCCAGTGCTCTGCCCACTAGCCCAAACTGTCCCCAACACCTACCTGGGTGATGCATCCCACCCGGTGGGAAGGGATGTGGATGCGGTGGGTGTCCTCCACTGGGTGCAGCTCCAGATGGTGGGCCAGGGGCACCAGCGCCTGGTGGCATGGGTGGAGGAGGCATGGCAGGCGGCATTCCTGGGGGCATGGCTCCAGGGGGTGGCACCGGCGGGGGGAACGAGCCAGGGGGTGGGATGCCTGAGGGAGCAAAAGATCGGTGAGAACGCTACTCCCCCCACAAATCATCACCCCACAGAACTGCATGCTGTGGCCCCGCCTTTCCCAGCCACGCAAGAGCCAATGGCATGGCTCAGGGGAGCAAGGCATCCCAGTGATGGGCCAATCAACTTGGGGATGGAAAGCCTTGCATTGATTGGTCCAGTACAAGAGATACTGGTCTCAGAGCAGGTGACATGGCCAACCACCTGGGGGGCAGGCTGCGTTCCTTCCTAAGTGGGGTCAAGAACCAGGCTTGAAACCCCGGTGGCCCAAGCACAGCAAGGGGGTAGCATTTTGAGCCCCCAGAGCTGTTCTGGGCCCCACACATAGGCAAGACCCCGGCCAACGAATCAGTGCCAACCCAGAGCAACAGGCACACTTGCCACATCCCTCCCTGTAGTCCAGCAAAGCCCTGGCATTGTTTCAATACCAACCCAGAGAGCAACAGCCTGTGAAAGACTGCACCCAGCCACCGACAAAGCCAAACCCCCACTGTGGGCACAGCACAGAGATCCCCTCACCTGGTGGTGTGACCCCGGGGCCCAGGGATGTGACAACCGGGGTGGGCACAGATGGCGGAGGAGGGGCATCTGCAAACAGCTGATGGGGCCGGTCAGCCTGCGAGAGAGGGTTTTGGGCAGCGAGGAGGCGCTCAGCTGCTGATCCATGACGCTCGCCCTTGGAGTCCTTCTTGAAGGCATAGGAGACAGTGATGGGGCGGTTGCAGAGGTACTGCCCGTTCATGGCCTCGATGGCAGCATCCGAGGCGTCGAAGCTGGCGAAGTTGATGAAGGCGTAGCCCTTGGAGTTGCCTGTGTCAGGGTCCCGCATGATCTTGGGTGTCTGCAGGATGACGCCGAAGGCGCTGAAGGTGTCGTACAGCAGCTTCTCGTCGATCTCTGGGTCCAGATTGCCGATGAAGATGTTGGCGCCCACATCCAGGTTCTTGTTGTGTGCCGAGGCCTTGTTCACCCGGATGGGCTTCCCATACAGCTTGATCATGTTCATGATCTTGATGGCGTAGTCGGCATCCTCCTCACTGAGGAACTCCACAAAGCCGTAGCCTGCAACACACCGCAATTCACTGGGATGGGATGCAGCCCCTGGGACGCACTTGAACCCCTCTCCCTGCTCTCTACTTCCTCACAACCCCTGGCCCCATCAGCACCAGACCCTGCTTCCTCTGTGTTTCTCTCTCCTGTTGGCTCATCTGGAAGTGCCCCCTTCACACCTACCCCAACCCCAATTGCTGATGGGAGACCTTCTCTGCTCCACCTGCCACTGAGATCCACTTCAGCGCATGTATATATGATCGCATAACCCAGGGATCTTTTTCTTCCCAAGTTCTCTCACCCCCAACTTCTACCACCAGCTCTGATAAGGTGTATCAGTTTAACTCAGTGGGGGGGAAACCTTTGTGGCAGACTAATTTGAGTGCAACCCGAAGGACGCACCTGCTGCTGCACTAAAGCACTAAGAGAACTGAAACACGCACAATATGTACGTAGCCTCGAAGCTTTCTGGGCCGCCCTTTCTGTTAGTCCTCGGAGCCGTCCTTCTGCCTGGCAGCTCAGGACCCTATTCTCTGAGCACGGGTGTGTTATCACCATAGATCTCACTTCTAAAGCACTGTTTACTCCCTGCTCCAGCAACACGGAAGATGACTAGGAAGACAAGGTCCTTGAAAGCCTTTCCCTAGTAGTGGGGGCTGACCCACACAGGAACTGCCAGTTACTGGGCGAGGCCACAGGCCCACTTTTCCCTGTCTCCCGTCACATAGCAGTAGAGAGTGGATGCTGAAAGGAAGAGCAACCTGGGTCCAATCAGGGATCTCCCCCCGTTCCTCTCTCCCTTGCTGCCTCCAGCTTTTAAAGCCCAGGTTTTACTACGATGGAGATTTCTCACCTTGGTGCTGGCCCGTGACCCGGTCTTTGGGCATGTGCGTATTGACCACGGGGCCAGCCTGGAGGAAGAGCTCCCACAGCAGTGGCTCGCTGACCTTCTCATCCAGGCCGCCGACGTAGACGGTGGCATCTTGACAGGGAGAGACGGAAAAAGAGACGTCAGTCACGGGCTTGAACAGAGGAAGGGACCGGGGCCGAGTCCTGGGGGCTCAGAGCATGACAGCAAGGGCAAAACCTTCCCCACTCTATGACGCAAACCCCAGACCCTCGCTGCGGAGAAATCTGGGGCCAGCAAGGCCACGTTCGAGAAGGGGGCGGCTTACAGGACCGTCCTGGTGCTGCATTAACTGGGCTGGATGGACCCGCTCGGACACTTCTGATGTCCCCGAGGACTGAGAAGGGGGATCAGTGCATGGCAACCCCCCCACCGGCAGCACGGATAGGCACGATGCAGGGTCCTCACGGAAACCGCCCAGTTCACCCCAAGCCGAGGGGAAACCCCTGCCTGCCCCTTTGTGGCGAGGGAGCCTGGCCTGGCCCGGCCCGGCCCGGCCCTGGCTCTGGGGGCTTAAAACCCCGACACGTGGACCTGGCCCGGGGGCGCCCCCATCACGGCAGCCGCCGGCGCCCAGGAACGGACGGGACGGGACAGGACAGGCCCGGCCCGGGGGTCGCACCCTGGTTCCGCTCCGAGATAGGCCCAGCCGCCATCTCCTCCGCGTTGAGCCGCCGCCGCCGCTAGGCGACCTCTCACCTTTCACCTCATCCCCTCCCGCCACCACTTCCGGTTCCCGTCTAAGCCGGAAGTGCTCTCCTAGGCGGCCGTGTTGGAATCGGGCGGAAGCTACCCCCGCGCGCGGGGCGGCCATGTTGGAGCCGGGCAGAAGCGGCTTGCGAAGGCCTGTGAGCCGCTGCTGATGTTAACGCTCTGTGGGACACGCTAGTAATAATAACGATAGGGCCTAGGCTTACGGCCAATAAATAGCACAGCACCCATTTTGCAGGTGAACAAACTGAGGCCTGGAAAAAGGGAAGAGACTTGCCCGGGGCAGAGCAGCTGTCCGGTTTCAAACCTAGCGCAATTCCCAAATTTAGCCCCAGCTTGCTGGGTGAACCCTTGCAGGGCCACTCTGTGCCTCAGTTTCCCCATCTATAAGAGGAAATGCTGATAGCATCTGCTGAGTGAAGTACTTTGATATCTACCAAGCACATTCGTTAGGGCTATCAATTGTTAGTCCTACTTGTAATGATTAACTGGCAGATAATACCCTCGAATCGGAGGCTTGTGGGATTTGGCACCACACGGGACCTTGAGATGATTTCACCCGGCCTCGCGAACGGCACCCAGAGACCGCAGCCTCTTGTGCGAACTTTTGGGGTGAACTGGGATATCTCCTTCAAACATGCCGCCACAACCCGTAGCTTTAAAAATACTGCGTTTATTGGACTCTTAAATAGAAACATCACTACAAAAATATACAGACTAGAAAAAAACAGAATGCCCTTCGCTGGGATTGCTATGCACCTCCTGCCTCACGTCATGGGGGCTGTGGGATCCAAACTCCTCAGCCACCCAAAAACTTTTTAAGAAGTAGTCAAAGGAGTTGCTTCAAGGGAGAGCCCAGGCCCCCAGCTGGCATTTTTTTAAGGAGTGATGGAGATACTCAGCTCTTCTCCCCAGGCCTCTCATGGGGCTGGAAGGAGTTTTTGAGATGAAGTGCACGCGGCTCCCCATCCTTTTCAGTCAACCCGCAGTGTTTTCCAAAGCAGTATTGGACTTTCAGCTGTGACTACCCCTGCCCATCCTGCAACTCCACTGCTTTCCCCTGTGAAAAGTTCAATCCTTGCACCAATCCTTTTCTAACCCATGAAATTAAAGGGATCCTTTCTATTAAGCGAAATGGATGGCGAGAAGCACGTGCATGGTCACACGCCGTGAATAAGCTCATCCAAGTATAGTTTCCGGTTCTGCCTGAAGTGCTTCAAGTCCAATGGAAACCCATCTCCTGCTGGTTACCAATTATAGCTAAAGCTATTTTTAAAAAAATAAAATAAAATAAAATACAAATAGCTTTAAACAAAATGTATGTTACCAATAACTGTGCCAGGGCTTTGAGAAAAAAAATCCTACAACAGAAACACCTAATCAGCAGTGAGGTTGTTTCCCCCTCCCCTCCCCAGCGGCAAATTTTATAGGGTTAGAAAGAGATCCCAAAGTGGGAAAGAGCATACCAGCCCTGACCTACCATCAGCAACGTCTGCATATGCTGAAGTGGGGGGGCTGCTAGGAGTTTGGAAGAACCTGAAAGACTCCAGCAAGTTTCCCATGTGGGGGCCTCCCCTGTATCTTAGTAGTAAGGGCCCAAATCCACCCTGCTGGGAAGATTCCCCTTGCTGGGCTGTGAAGCTCCCAGACAGGATGAGATTTTGGAGAAGGCCCAGTTCAACAGAGGGGTTAGGAAGATTCCCAGGCATAAACCTCCACCAGCCCCATCAAGCTTGTAAGTGCAGAGAACAGGTGGTAACACAGTGCCGAGTCTGATCCTGGCCACGGGGGCCAGAGCAGATGTCCCGGATCCACCCCAGCCAATGCAACAGCCTGATGTGCAGCTGATGCAATGGGGCCTGGAGCTCAAGGAAGAGTGTCTGCAAAAAATGGTCTCACAATCCCAGATGCGGCTGCTGTCCCTCTGCAAGAAAGCAGCAGCTGCAACCTGCACTTGGGGGGGGGGGGT